ACGTTCCAGAAAATTGATCAAATTGAAAACAGTTCGTTTGATTCTCAGCAATTCTCATCATTCTCAGCGGTAGGTGTTATATAACAATTACTATGGTTGTTGAAATACTGAATATAAATGGGGTTTGCTTGCAAAGCCTCCGCGGGCGAAGTCGCGGGTAACAGCTAGTTACATATAAAAGACTTCTCTCGGAAATAAAGCGAGACATTGAGTAACATGTAAAAAGAGTTGCAGTACCATATGAAACTGCTATAATAAATAACGCCATTTTTATGATTGTATTCATCTCTGTGAATAGTGCAGCACAAGTATAAAAACAAGTCATGTAAATACCGTAGCCTTGAGTAATTGGAATGATGTACTCACGAATGCCATTAAATTATTCAATTTGATACACAAGTTCGGTGTGTTCGTGGACCAAATGATTCAAACTCGATTTTGAAATTTTTCATTTCATTTGAATTTCGAAGAAATCCTCGGATAAACGGCAAAACGTCTTTTGTACAACCCGACCAGTGATGGTAATTTGCGAAAAGACTAGTATTGACTGTCACGTCTGTAATTAATGACACAGATGAGGTAAAAGTGAGTCAGTTGTAAACATTTGAAATTCTCTTAATATATGAAATTTTTTAATGGATATAGCTCAAATGGTGAATAATAGAATTTCTAAGACAGCCATGAAATGGGTTCACCCTGGTGCCAAACGACCACGCGGACGCTCCAGGAGTACTTGGCGTAAGACTTTTCTTCATGATTTGAAGATGCTCAATGTGACGTGGGAGGAAGCTAAAGCCATCGCCCAGAATCGGAGGATGATAATTGCTGCCCGGTATGCTACTTAGCATTGGAGGAACTACTACTGTTACTACTACTATATATTACTGTAATTTATTCTTTAGATTCAAACAGCTCAATATTGGAAAGAACTGTTGTATACGAAAAACAACAGTTATCAATATCCCATGATTTTTGAAACCTGAAGATGGCCTGTAGAACAGGTTGAAAACGTTCATTACGGTTAATAAATAATTCCCAGTGAGATAAGGTGTTTTTGCGTAGGTTAAGAAACATCTAGCTGGGTATTAAGTACAGTATTTTTTAGATACATGAAAGTCCAGACCAGATTTAGAAAGCTTAGTGGCAAGATGCCTTGATTAACTACATAGGAACGTCGAGTTTAGAATGAATGTCACGTTATTTCGATTCAAAATTTTTTTCAAAACGAAGTTAGATAGATGACCAGATAGATTTTGTTAATTTTTTTGCCAATAGATGGCGCTACTTGTAACAGAGAGACTCGAATGGAGATAGAAATTAATTGATTATTAACCAAAATCCAATAGATATTTTGGGCTGGGGTTTCCATATTATCTAAGTAAGCGGTATATGAAAGCAACTGCGGAGTTCCGTAGCAATTGGTCGAACGGTCTAGGCATGTATAGCGAACAAACAAACATCCAAACAAACAAACAAACATTCTCATTTATATGTATAAAAGATAGTTTGTTTCTTTTGAACGTAATAATAATTTTTCTTTATTTTTAACTGGGCTGCAATTTTAAAAAAATTATAGACCTATAAATTCCCACTGTCATCTGTCTATACCTCTGTCTGTCTTTCTTTCCTTAATCTCGAGAACTGAGTTAGATAGCTGTAAGCTAAAACCAGATTTGAAAACCTTAGTGGTAGGAGACCCCGATTAACTATGTATAAAACTCCGATACAAACCGAAAGTCACATTATTTCAATTCAAATATTTTCCCTGAAAGCAGTTAATAGATGACCAGCACGACTCTACCGAATTCTGTACGTCATGTTTCAATAATTCATTCTGCTTATCATTTGAAAAATAATTTCAGCCACTTATTTTATATTTAAAAAATATATCGTCATCTATTTTGATATTTTTAAATTTTAAATCACATTTTTACTTGATGATTTTGAAAAATTTTATAAATCTGCCACACTAAAGCTTTTTGATGTTTTTAGAAGAAAAGTGATAAATGTCAGAAGAAACATGAAAACTCGCTTACTGTACATAATTTTTCAACGTCGTTATGTTGCGTAAGTGGCAAAATTCCCTATAATAAAGCAATTTCCATCACGCAATAGAAAACGGGAGTGGATGTTGCCGGCAGAGAGTTTTGTCTTCTATGTGCGTGTATCGACGTGTTTATTCAGGTGAACAGTAGTCTACAGACAGAAAAGTTCGCGGCTGTCTGACAAGGTCGAGGACTATTTTGTCGTGCTCCTATTGTATTTAACAGTGTGCGTGCTCCTCTACGACGCCACTATTCTTACTCTTACGATAAAATTGTCTGCGGGCAAAAAGATTCAAATGTTAGGTAAGCCATTTTTTTAAATGCATGTTTGGACTTCTGGAATGTCAGTGACAAAAAATGCAAAAAACTGGATGGTCAAAATTTGGCAGATTACAGTCGACCCCCATATAACACGGGTTCCTATAGTTCGGATTCCTATATCACGACGAAAAAATTGCGACAGTATTCGTACAAACATGCTAAAAAACTCCTATGATTCGGTAAAACGTCATCGCCGACTCGTGTCGCGATAGGATTGCACAAGCCATTGAGTTTAAATGGGCAGCGGATCTACTAAAAACAATTTATTATTTAACGTCCATAAAAATTATATTTATATTAACGATGTCTCCAAAGTTCAGCGAATTTTTCGCAAAAAAAATAATTTATGAGGAAGCAGCGAGCGCCATTCGATGGCAATCTCCACAACGAAAACAAACTTAAGCTAAGACGTAGTCGAACGGTGCACACTCGGTAAGTAATCTTACAATTTTTTGTTTATAGCATAGTTTATATGTATTATTCCCCAAAAAATTATATGTATTTTGGAAATGTTGAGTCGAATTAGTCTAGAATCGATTAATTTTATGGAAGAAACCTTTCAAACAGCCGTAGTCCGTAAACTGCATACGTGCCGGGCTATGATTGGCTGGACTCGTAAGAAATGGATTCATAAAAACAGGAACGTATCTACCATATTATAGGGGGGGTCGACTGTACTATAATTTCTATAATAGCAGGGAATAAAATTCAGATTAAATATCTGTCGTGATATAAAGTGCAGTGTGTTGATAAAATTCGCGTAAATTTATCAGCCCGAATATTAATTTACGTGATTTATTTTGGTATCAAACACAATAAGGTAAGACTTCAGAGTGTTTGATACCAAAGCATTTGAGTAAAGCATGTGAATTCACTATACAAAAACTATACATTCACTATACATTTTTAGTTAAAATGACAAACAATATATTTATGGATTGCAGTGGTTATATTTACTCAGCCAAAGGAGACATTGCATTTTGAATGTCATATGTATTTATATTGACACAAAGCACGATTGGTATATTGTGCATGTATTGATTTTCCACTTGATCCATGTTTGCTTTCATTTCTATGTATGATTGAATTGAACAAAACAAGAAAAAAAACCCGATGTCTTTGTGTTGTGCTGTAATTGTATGGTGGGTTTAGTATATAGATGTCTGTAGAAAAAAAAACCATTGTGAATAATTTATTCTGCTTTTTCTTAATATAAAAATGTTTTATCTTTGCGATATGGCTGGAAATTATTGTTTGAAAGTTTCAATGTAAATATGATTAAAAATTACAGCCCGGCATTGTGATGGTATCACAATAAATAATCGCTCGTATCAGTAATAAAATCCTTTCTACATCCAAATTCCGTGAATTATTGTCATTATGCGTTGGGCAAACTTCTCTTGCGAAAATATAATCAATAAAATCGCGCGTATTGTACTAGAATATCCAATTACGTCATGCTTTAGCAATTCATTCTGCTCATTATTTGAAAAATAGTTTCATCGACTTAAAAAAATCTATCGTCATCTATTTTGATATTATTAAATTTCCAATATAGAAGTTTCCACCACGCTATAGAAAACGGCAGTGGATGTTGCGGCAGAGTTTCTATGTGCGTGCATCGATGTGTTTATTCAGGCAGACAACAGTCTACAGACAGAAAGTTGGAAGCTGTCTGCGGAGCTCGGGGACTATTTTGTCGTGCTCCTACTGTATCTAGCAGTGTGTGCGCTCCTCTACGACGCCATAATTCTTACTCTTAAGATAAAATTGTCTGCGGGCAAATAGATTCAACTGTTCGGTAAGCCCTTTTTTAAATTCATATTTCGGCTTCTAAAATGTCAGTGTCGAAAAAAGGCAAAAATCAGGAGGTCAAAATTTGGCCGATTGCTATACTTTCTATAACAGCCGGATAGTAAAATTTAGATAAAATATCTGTCGTGGTGTAAAGTGCAGTGTGTTGATAAAATTCGCGTAAAATTAGCAGCCCGAATATCAATAAATTGATATTCGGGCTGCTAATTTATTAATGATTTATTACCTCAGTGTATTTGATACCAAAACATTTGAGTAAAGCATGTGAGTTCACATTCTTTATTCAAATGTACCCTAAATTTTTAAAATGACAAACGATATATTTATGGATTGCGATGGTTATATTTGTGAGGTTTGCCGATTGGGGAGAAAGTGTCACGACAATCGAGTGGTTCGCACTGTCGCATGGGAGTGGAAAAACTTATTGTGACAGGTCCTCCATCGCAAACAGTTTATTCAATATAAAAATTTCGCTTACAACTACTGTTTTACTTCGGTGTAAGGCCTATCCGAAGAGTGAATCAGTTCGCAAATAAAGTTCAATCGTTTCGACGATCTTCTCTTTTTCTGGCGAAGATGATGAGGAAAACGTAGGCTCCGGGGCTCACAGCACAACTTGAAGGGGTGATTCTCGTAGCAGAGTTACACTTGGCGAAACTTGCCGGGACAGGATGGCGAAAACTTCTTCCGGAACGTCGACCAAGTTTCCGCAGGAAAAAATCCAGGAGCGGAGCACACCGAACTAAGAACCGAGAACGTCACATCCTTTTTAGCGCGGTTTTTATAAGTTTTTCTGGGTCCCAGATCGAACATTCCGATAGGTCGATGCCGATCTGTCCCTGCTCTATAATTGGTCCCCCCTCCTGGTTACGAATTGTAACGAGATCGGAGCCCGGATCGCGGGGTGAGTCAACTCCGACTGACAATTTGATTCCCATCGAAGATGTTCGATCTAAGTACTCAAATTCATCTATTGTTTCATTCTGAGAAATTCGTTTTTTCTTAGAAATTTCTACAGATATGTCTTTATATGAACATAAAATATTCATTTTCGTTTGATGGTTTCATTTTACAATATTATAAGAATTATTATGATAATTTCCTTCTATACAAAAATTAGAAAAAATTTTCTTTTTTTTGCACAAATTCTAGGTCCACTTCCGAAGCTTCGCATATTTATTCAGCCAACGGTAGACACTGCGTTTTGAATGTCGTATGTTTACATTGACACAAAGCGTGATTGGTATACTGTGCAATGTATTGTTTTCCCACTTGATCCGTGCTTGCTTTCATTTCTGTGTATGATTGAATTGAATAAAAAAAAAAAAATAGACTAATGTCTTAATGTTGTGCTAAAATTTTATGGTGGGTTTAGTATATAGTTGTCTATAGAAAAAAGTCTCATTGTGAATAATTTATTCTGTGTTTTCTTAATATAAAAATGTTTTATCTTTGCGATATGGCTGGAAGTTTTTGTTTGAAAGTTTCAATGTATTCTTGCAGGTGCTCGTAGTGTGAGTTTTAATTTTCCAAATACTGCATTTTATTAATCTCTTTTATTCAGTTTGGTATTATTTTAGTATATTGTGTCAGCCTATTTAATTGTTGTCTAAAGTTATTTATCTGTATTTTCTAGTCTTCTTTGCAGAACAGGCTTATGATTTGTGTGTGTTTGAAAAACTTTAGTGCAATATTTGTAGAAATTTTAAGACATTGATATTTAATAAATAATAATTCATGTCTCACTAGCAGCAAAATTAAATATTTAAATCTGACAATTCAATGGAATTTATGTTTTTGCAGATTTGTAAACATGAATCTCAAGTACTGGGTTACTTTAGCATTACTTTTAGCTCTAACTGACAAAGGTAATTTACGTTATAAATAACTTCTATTTAAACTAAAAAAAAATATTTAATTCATTTAAGAAATGACAATAAAATGTTTATTAATACTGTAAATTAAAATTTTTGAAATGAAGATAATACAGTATAATGCATTGTTAATAAGAAAGAAATAACAAATTTTGAATTAATAAAATTAACTTTTTACGGTGGCGTACCGTAGTGGGGGCGGCAGGGGCGGCTTGCCCCGGGCAGCACTTTTTAGGAAAGGCGGCAAAATTACCTTTTAGGGGGTGGCAAAATTTCACAATAAATAATAATAATAATAATATCTTGTAAAAATTTGAACCATCCTAATGTATATTTGCGTCGTGCCTACGATAGTGCTATCGTCCGGACAGTCCGGGAATCGGCTCGCCGTCCGGGTGAACTACTAGTAATTTTTTCATCCGAGGAAATCCTGCGTAACCTGTTGACTTTTTTTTTCTTGTACGTTCATATACACCACTAATATCCAATAGAGCTATTTTAAACAGCTGTATTGAAATGAAAAATTCCGCGCTGCACTAGCGCGGAATTTTTCATTGCTTGTTCTGTGACAAAACTGAATTTTAGTTTTTTTAAATTGAAATACCTAAATAAGGGGGGAGAAATTTTCCTTTGCCCCGTGCGGCTGACGGTACCCACGGTACGCCACTGACTTTTTAATATCATAACTTATTTTAAAATTTATCATTTAAAAAATTATCAATTAGTTAATTATTTTTTAGCTTTATTTGTAAATATTTTTATTCTGTGGGCACTAAGAAGGCCTTTTTTAACGGTTCAGCCAAGCTTACGATGTCTGAGCGGCTGGTGATGAGCGACACGGCCCGACATATCTGAACGGACTACTTCTGGGAAAATTCCTGGAGTTTTTCGACCCGTTATGATTGAATCCCTGGTTCCGCAGAGCGGTAGGCTGCTACCTTGACCGCTCGTATATCTGGCCATCTCTATTGGTTGATTAACCTGAGACATCAACATTTACATCCAAATCGATCTGATCCTCAATGAGCTCGATCAGCATGGGTTATGTATATATCGGGAAACATTTGACCCTATACTGCTTATGATAAATTATGAGGGCTGGACCCGGATCAAATCCGTACTCCCCAGAAAAAAAGTGAAAAGTTATCGAAGTAGTAATCTGGCCAACAGTGTTTATCATATTTGGCTATTAAATATTCTCATTTTGTTTCTTCTGTGTTTGCAATTAAATATCTGTGTATATATATGTGTGAGAACCGAGGGGATATGACTACGTCGTACCTCCTTGGATCGGCTTTCAAGTCGGAGGGACTTGCCCACTAGTCAGAGATGGCTTAATTTTTTCTTTACTTTATCCCGAGGGAACGGGACTAAAATTTTTCAGGTCGAGGGGAGGAAGGAGTGCCGTCGGAAAAGCGACAGACGATATACGAGTAAAAGAGGACACCAATTTAACAAAGAAACAACGATTTATTGGTTAACTACAAAGACTGTACGATAAACTATCATCGCGGAATTCCGAGTGAAAATTAAAAAGAGCGAAGGGACCGAGAGAGAGTTCACAGAAGTGGGTTCCATACCTCTTTCTAGATATGGATATCCTAGATCACAAACGTAGGGCACAAGTTAAAGTAAAATCCTCGAAACGACTCTCCCCGAGGGGGGAGAGAAGTGGCTTTTATCGTTTCGCGGTGGGAAAACTATCACGTGATTAACTAGTTGAGAGGTAAAAGGTGTGCGGGGAGGTCAGAGTTGTCCCCGGAACCCAAATAAAATGACGCAATTGTATGTTAACTATCAACTTTTAAGTTCGTAGTGTGGGAAAGTCGTCGAGATGGGCAAATGTTTACCTTGAAAAAAGGGGAGGTTAAAATTTCTCCCTCTTTCAAGTTGGTTTCTACTCTAGTTTCTTAGGGAAATTTAATTGGTTTTTAGGTAATAACGGGACATTGACCGGACAAAAATTCGGTAGAAATTCCGGATTTCACATTCGTTTTAAACTCTTTCTGCCCTAACAGAGTCTCTTTTAACAAGCCCATTATGGGTTTGGCCAGGCCCACAATGGGGCGGCTGGGCGGTGAAGTGGCTCGACATATCCGGTCGGATCACCCCGAAAAATTCCCAGGTATTTTTCGACCCGTCCGGATTTGATTCCAGGTCCCCAGAGCAGTAGGCTGCCACCGTGACCGCTTGGCCATCCGGCCAATTGCAACTAAATATCATAGTATTACAAGCCTCGTAGTTGTAATAATAATGTAATTTATGCATTCAATATAAAAAAATGTGTAGTTAATTTAATATTGGTTTCTGTGTTTAATCATCAAACACCAATTACCACCGGAATAAGTAAAGCATGAACAGCGATTAATATGTTTATGTTATAAGCTACGCCCTGAACCAAGGCCGTCTAGACTATCATCTAGACGGCCTTTCCTGAACATTCCGCAACATTTTTGGAATGAAATTTGAGCGTTGATAAAAGTTGCATGCGCAATTTTCCGTAAATTAATTTTGTCATTATTATGGAAAACAGGAGGTCTAGTCTTAATTAACTTCGGCAGTTAAGACTAAGCCTTCATAGACCTGATCTCCATAATAGTGACTAGGCCTCCTAAGTTTCGATATACAATAGCAACGGGGACTTAGGTTGCATATTCAAACATCGAACTCGTACGTAAGCATATAACAGCAGCTAATTAAGAGCCTATACCAGCATTCAGTTGTTCTGTGTGGCATGATTTCGAATGTGGAATGAAAACGTCAGCATTACCAAAAATAGTTAATACTGTACTAATTTCGGTAATATCAATCCCTAGTTTTTACTGTATTTACAGACGGCACAAATAGTTATACTGTATAAGCTGTTTACTTAATATTAAACGTTTGAAAAGCTTCTCTGTGAAGAAGCTTAAGTTTGGACGACTTGATTTTAGTTTTTGTTTTTTATTCGCTTTAACTTTTATTTTAGACTACAGTCTAAAAAATGGTCAAGATGGCGGTCAGTTCTGGAGGACCCGGAATCGAATCCGGACGGTTCGAAAAAGCCCCAGAAATTCTTCAGATGGTAATCCGTCCGGATATGTCACGGTTATGTCCCTCACCACCAAGCCAAGCCGTCCCATTATGGGCCTGGCCGAACCCGTAATGTGCTTAATTAAAACACGTAATGTGCTTAATTAAAACACGTTTTTGATTCTTTCCGTTTTATTAGCACTTTTAGTGCTAATAAAACGGAAAGAATCAAAAATGAAAAATAGATCCGAAGATAATCAGACTTGTAAATGTTAAAAGTACAGTACCATTAATCATGGAATTGTCTTTAAAAGTCTATAACTAAAAATTAGGATTCGTTAATTAATATTACTTGTAATATAATGTAGCATCAAGTGTTTTAAGTATTTTTTAGAAAATGATGCTAATTCATTCTTAGAAAAAGTAATGAAATTGTCGAATTTATGGAAAATTTCATAGATATATTAGCATAAATAATATAATTTTTCATTTTTAAACTTATCCTCCCTGTGGGCACTAAGAGCATCACTTTTCCAAACTCATGGTGAGTTCGGCTAGGCTCACAATGAAGCCGGGTAACGAGGGACAGGCCTGACTAATCCGGGACAAACCACTCACGGAAAATTTCTAAAAACTTTGTCGCCCGGATTCGAGCCAGGGTGCCCTAACTGCCTGTTGACTATCATATCAATCTAGTGACACAATAAATTAGCTCTTAATTTATTTACTTTTTAAGATTTCATATATAAGTAACTGTGTAAACTTTTATTACATCACTAAAATTTATTTTCAGTGAAATTAGATAATTTGTCAGATGAAGAAAGTACAGGTAAGTAATCTCATATAGGCTATAAGTAACTGTGTAAACTTTTATTACATCACTAAAATTTATTTTCAGTGGCATTAAGTAATTTGTCATACGAGTATGTAGAAAGAAGAGGTAAGTAATGGTGTTTAGTTTAAAAACAATATCCCTTCTAATATTAAAAAAAAATATATTTATTTATTTCAGGACTTGCAACTGGAGCTCTTGTAGGTATTATTATAGGATGCGTGGTTGGATTGATTACTTGCTGTTCGTGCATATGTTATTTCTGCTGTAATTGCTGTCGATCATCTCAACCTGTAATTGTGCAACAAAGTACCACCACCGTTCCTTCCGGACCCCCTATTATCAATATTCCAGCCGGAGGAAATAGCGGATTTTCGAATATCCCATCGTCTCCACCTCCTTATATGCTTTTAAAATAAATTAAAACCACACTACAATTATAAATAACATATTTAAAATATTTTAGTTATAATATTCCGGAATAATCTTACTGGTAAATAGAGCTGCATTATAGTTTTATATTTCTTAGATAAAAAAAAATGGCTTTTCAATTTATACACATTCTGTATTTTAAAATGTTCATTAAGAATAATGATAAATTTGTATTATTACAAGAATTTTATACCTAAATAATAAAATATAAAATTAAAAAAAATATTGTGATTAATAGTCATTTTTTATACTATAAATATTCGTAGCAATGTAAAATATAATCTTATTTCTGATAAAAATTCGAAGTACAGTAGTACAGTTACCTCTGTATTCGAATTTAATTCGTTCCAGAATGCTGTTAGAGTGCCGACCGAGTTTCTCCCATAAAGAATAACGTAAATCAGATTAATATGTTTCACACCTCCCAAAAATACACTTGTAAAAGTATTTTAACTAGAATTTAACACAAATTTAACAAAATGTCTATAAGAATACACAAATTGTAAAAAACCTAAACACAGTAAAGAGATGCAATAAATGCAAATTTATTGTCACTTTATCTGTAACTTTAAGAAAGATGATGCCGTATGTGAAATGTGGTGAGGATGGTGAAGAGGAAGAGAGATGTTATTGTTTGAAATACTGACATTTCCTTTGTTTCGTGAGCAATACAGAGCGGCAAAATATGCCTATTACTTTTAGCAATAATTCAGTCTGACGAAGATAAGCAACTATAAAGTTTCATTTTATTTTTAAATTAGTACTCATTTTTATCATAGAGAATTTTTCATGAGTAACAAAATTAATGTTAAAGTAAAATATATGTTATTAATCGAAAACTTGTTCTAACAGAAGTGTTTGTTCGACCGAGTGCAGAGTAAACTGTGCACTACCGAACGACCTTTTCCTCGAATATCTATTCTGATATCAAATTGTTCAAATTAGAAGTTTGAGTACCGAGATACTAACGACCGGATGACCGATCGGTCAAGGCGGCAGCTTACCGGTCTGGGGGTCCGGGATCGAATTGGACGGTTCAGAATCTTCAGTTTTTTCCGGGATGTGGTTCGACCGTATAAGTCGACCGTTATCCCTCACCACCCGACCGCTCCATTGTGGGACTTTCCGAATTCATAATGAACTTGCTAAATGAGACCCTCTCAGTCAGTGTCCGTAGGATGGAAGGAGTAAAAGATCTAACAAACAAGTACTGAGGTACTGCTGCATCTGTAAAATATTACTTTTGTTAGGAACAGTTTTAGGAATTGAAAAATTTTTATTTTGCATAAAAACTTCAACTGATTTAATTCGATGTTATATCAAGAGAATTTTTCGATTTGACAGATCCGTCCGTTATCATTCGGTCGTTCCATGGTGGGCCTGGCTGGTCCCATAATGGTTTGCTAAAAAAAAAGGCCCTCTTAGTGCCTATAAAACACAGAGTTATAAAAAGAACTCCTTAAAACTGATTACCCAAAAAAGAATGAATACATATTACAAAACAATAATAATTAGTTCAGCTTCAAGAATAATTTTTATTCTCGATAATACGTAAACAAAAAAATCGATCTAAAATTCACTAAGTTTAAGAAATCAAAAAATTCATATATAAGGTTCATATTTTCAACTATGCTTTTCAACATACAAATGATATAGGATATTTGAAAAAAATTAATACAAAATATTTTAATATTTTTTCATATATTTTATATGAATTTACATATTCGAATTGCGACTATTTCAATCAAATGAAAAATTAATTGAAAATTCAAATACAATCTGGATTTTTCATACAAGTTCCTCTTTAATTTAATTAACGTGAGAAAATAATTTTATGATTTTAGTTTTAGGAAATGATTTTGTGTCACGCAATCGAGAAATACATTTAAAAAACAATGCTATAAACTTATTTGGACTGTTAAGTTCTGTTAATGTTCAATAATAGCCCAATTATGTTATGTTATGTTTAATTAATTGATACGATTAGACCAATTAATTAATATAATCATATTTAATAAATTATATATAAATAATCCATTATGTACACACAAAAAAAATTAATTTAAAGCTAACGTAGGGCTTATTGAAATTACGTCATTTTAGTGTAATTTTGTTCATACGACATACGAGGGAGCTACTATATTTTTGACAATTGTTCAATTCTCCGTTGAGTTTCTGACTAGAGGCGTTTTATACTGTGCATCTTAGTAAGGTATTTGCTTAGATATTAGGTAAGATAGGCATTAATATAGATTATACATGCATAATAACATTAATTCCTTATTATTTACATTAATTCGTATCATTTGACCAATAGACATGAATAGTAATTCCAGTTGATTGGAGTTGATTTCGGTTTCGGTTCCGGTTTCGGGTTAATGTATAACTAAAGTGGCGCCGCTTTGGTTAGTTTAGGTTAGGTTAGATTAACTATATTTTTAGTAGACGTTTCCTTTTTTCTTTTATTTTGTTCAAGAACTACCGCGAATCAATAACTAGTGACGTTAAACACTAGGCGGCCTGTCGGCGGCTCCCCTCCGGGAGGAATCAGTCGGAAGCGCCGCCATTTTAGTTACCTAGGTATACATTAACCCAGTTTTGATTTTGTTTTTAGGCATAAAAACAAAATCAAAACCGAACCAAATTTTTTGTTTCCGTAGAGAATATGTCGAAAACGGACTTTACATCAGAAAAAAATATTATATGTAAATATAATATTATATGTAATATAATATAATTTTATTAAATTATATAATATTATATGTAATATAATATTATGTAAATTAGATAAATATAATATTATATTTACATATAATATTTTTTTCTGATGTAAAGTCCGTTTTCGACATATTCTATACGGAAACAAAAAATTTGGTTCGGTTTTGATTCTTGTAAAATTATATGCTATGCATTTACTATATATTTATTCGAACATTATAATATATACAAGTATTTGAATATATATTATAATATATACAAGTATATTTGAAAATTCGAATAAACAGGAAGCTAGATAGATTTTTTTTATAAAACATGGAAGGATACAGATAAACAAGAAACACACAATAGAAGACAAAATATACTAAATAAACCTGGAAAACTTCTAGCGTAAGTCAAATAATATAGGCTATTTGATACAGTATTTTTAGTTTATTCCGCCTGTTTTTCTATTTTGCATGATGACTTGTAAATCGTTACTAATGAAAAGCTATCATTTACTATAAATGTTTTTCGTTACTTATTTCAATGCGTTCAAATTCGCTTCTTAATTTCGCGATTTGTTTTTATAATATAAAATTATTTAATTACAACGTAAGAAAGCTCGTTTTAATATAGATGTAATTTGATTTAGACAATAGTTGCAGAGCATTTCTGTAATTCTGCATTGTATGCGTCATTCAGGAATCCTCAATAAAGCTAGCGTAAAATTCTGCGACTATGTGTAAGATTATTTAAAACTGTAATGTATAATTTATACAATATAAATATTACTGTAAATGCAAAATAATAGTATCGGTTCCAAATATTGGTTATATTGAAAGTAAAAGTATACAACTTTATATCGAAGCAGGATTTAGAATTTCTTAGCGGATATATTGACGTCATTTGTCGATCTAGTCGAAGTATTTGACGAAATAGAACTGCAGGCACACTCAGGAAATTTTTCAGTTTTTGATTTCATTTTTTTGCTCCCTTGAGAATTAAGAAAAGGGCAACCCGACGACAAAGGGGAGCAAGTGCCCCAATGTACGAGCGCTCTGCTTCGAACACTTAAAGGGTAGACGATAGAATGGAAGCTTTCTTTTAATACTGTTTTGCTATAATTTTTAAATAGAGTTTAAATTAGATTTATAGCTTGGGTTAAAATTTTATATTTTTTATCAAACATGCACAAAACATAAACACATAATATTTATATTTATTATAAAGTAAATGCGATACTTAAAAAGTTTATATATTTTCAATGCTAAACAGATCGGTCCAGATATCATAATTTATAATTTATTAATTCGTTTAATCAGACTTCGTTTTCGAAATTAATAGCTTAACTTTGTGAAAACGAATATAATAATTCTATTTATTGACAATTGTAAAATAAATAAAAACTAAACGGACTTCATTTTATCCATTTAAAGCTAATTATCAGAGGAACTGATATTTAATTATATTATATTATGATAAATATTTATTTTAAAATTTATATATTTATTATAAAGTTTATTTTCTTTATTAAATTTAATATTAAAAAATTTTTATGTAGTCTATACATTGTGAAAATAAATGTTTCGCTGTCAAGATCTCGTAATATATATGAAAATATTTTAAAAAAAGATATATAAGTTAGTGTGGTAAAGTTATTTCCGGTCATATTATATTAAATTCTATTAATGTCTATAGATAACTATGGCAATTATCATATGCTTACTTAATTGATATGATTCGACTAATTGGTTAATTAATTAGCTCATTATTTAAATTTGCTAATTAAGCTAATTATACATTATTAACTTAATACATAAAATGTACAAATATATTTATGTATACGTACACAAATAATGTATATATATATATTTAGGATTGCCATTAGGTAGCAAGCAAATAACTAAGGAAGCCAATGACAGTGTCCGTTTCATATGAAACGAATTATGTTATTAACTTGCTTTTTTAGATGCTTGCCATATCACGCGCCGCAGCAACTGATAGAGTGCTTATTACGTCACTTATTTAATAGAAATTCATTTATAGACTATAGAAGAAATTTACTTGCATTTTGACATATTGATTTACTTGTTTCTTGTTTCGAAGGGAAGTTTTACGAAGAAATCTTCTGTCGTTTGGAACTTCAGGTAAACGAATACATTTATAATCTATATCTTTGATCATTTATTTTAAATTATTAGCTTTTTATTGTGGATCTCGAAATTCAGATCAAATAGATTTGGAAGAATTTAAGTAAATTTTTTAGACTTGTTTTTCAAATATTTTATTCAAAGTTCGTACAAATCTTTGGCCAGGCTGTAAAAAATATTATCGTTATACAGTATTGTTTAAATTATAAATTAATTCAACGGACAAATGTTACGCTAAAATCTTTACAAGTTAAAAACGAAAGCGAAACTATTTTATGCGTGTTTTTGTAGGGACCCATTAGAATTTCGATAAATATAAAATTAATTTCTATATTTTTTCGTTTATCGATATTCATTTCTCGGTGTTATGGCTTCAATATTGATAATACAGTATACACCAATGATGGTTATTGGCCTTATAGTAACGGTATTACTATACTGAATTCTTCTATTAAAGTACTATTCAAAATTTTGAAAATGGAATTGGTTAATTTTCTACGAATTTTTAAAATATTTAAAAAATTGGATTAAAAATTGGATTATTTTTCTACGAATTTTTAAATATTTTAAAAATTCGTAGAAAAATAATCCAATTTTTAAGGCCATTTGCTAGATATTGTATGCATAATTAAAGATGTTACGAGTCTTAATAATAATTTTTTTTATAAAGTAAGTGCAAAATTTTTGTTGTTTCTTAAAATTAAAAAAATTCTTCAAATTACACCACAGTGACGAGCAGCTCTTTCTAGAAGCATCTTTTGTGGAGTACCAATATACTCCATAATCACCAGTACACTAGGTACTAAAATAAGTTATTATGCTAATGATATGTAAATTAATTTAGTAATATATGTAGAGTAAACCGGGAAAATATGAACATTATATCGCCTGTATCATAAGTCTATTCTAACAAATAGTTATTACATACTTATTATTACTTGTAAAAGTTTGTATTTTTGCATTTTTCATATCTTATCCATTTTCCTGCTTTTCTTAAAAATAGTTCGTTACCATAGCCTATAAACATTCAGCGTATTTAGTATACTTTTTGTTTTTGTCTTAAAATTGTTTCTCTCGTTGTGTTACGAATTTTGCACTTTGAAGTTGATTTTTTTACGTTTATTGCTATCGACTAGAGATGGTTTTGCTTCTTCTAGTTGCTTCTTATGTGAATAAGCAGTAATAAGAGTATGCCTGCTGAGGTGTTCTCTTTTTCACTGGTTTCGTGTGTGTTCTTGGGCTTGAGTTTTGTTCCATTATCTGCTAGAATGAAAATGTTGACTTTTTATTTGCTTTTTCTTCATTCAGTCCCCAATATCTCAGGGTCGTTTGGATATTATAGACCGAATAGATGTGTCTTGCTCAATTTGCATCCTCGAAGTCAGGTGTCGTCGCACTTTCTGTCTCGGAATAGCAAAGGTTTTCGATAAAGTTCGAAAACTTCAAATTGTCCTCGTACCAATTTCCTCTGAGGTCTTTAAATTTGTAATTTCTAGGAATCAGAAGAATGAGATTAGCTAAATAATGCTGCAAAAGCTTGATTCTACTTTTATACCTAAAATAAATTTTTCAGTAAAGAAACGAAACATAAAACCGTGAACGTCGACAGATTCGTATCGATTCATTTCTTACCAAAAAGAACGTTATTTTCCAAAAATATCACACTATAGCAAATCTAGCTTACACAGCTAGTTCAAGCTTACAAATATAATTAGCAAACCATATTTTTTACGTATTTCGACAGATTCCTACAGATTATCGCTACAAATCTTTCTTCTGTTAAATGTAACCAACCACGTTGTTAAAAATGACACCGTGGAAGAGTCTTATATATGGCACTTCTCATTCGCACTGTTGTTACGGAGTTACGAATATGCGCTTATATTTCCTCGATCTAACCTATAAATATTGAGAAAAATTTATTCTCAATATATATGGGAATTCTATAAGACACATAGAAGAGGCTTCGCTAAAATAGCAACTTACTTGGGGGTGACACCAGACAGAAAACAGGAAAATAAAATTACGTTGCCGAAGCACCGGGATCACATATCAGGATATCTCGTGGGGCGCATATTTTGTATTGTAAAAGATACATCTATTGCAATAGAGAATTTAGAAATGAAGGAAAATCTTTAGTCATAGACAATTTACAGACTGAATTCAAACGTTCTAGTTTTCAGACCATGATGGCGAAGGCTTTTCAAGTTTCTACTTTATTATAATATTTTAGATAATATATATTTCTAATTTAATATTTATAAACATTTAAACTTTATAATAGATCAAAAATATGTTTTATAGATTTGTAACCATGAATCTCAACTATTGGATCGTTTTAACAATTCTTTTTATGCTAGCTGACAAAGGTATGTGATTTAAATTTCTCTAGTGTGTTAATTTGAAAAGAAAAACTTTATAATAATAGTTAAAAATCGAAGTGTCGCATATATTATTATTATCAATATATTTGTATGTAGCCTTCGTATAACGTGTTACTTATATAGCACAATTTCGATATGAATTCTTAGGTTTGGTTTCGTTTTATTCATATACGTCAACGTGACACAGGCGATCTGTCTGTGGAGAAAGGATTGTCTCACGGGAGGTCTTTTATGAGAAACTGGCCCATATTCGCAAACACCTCGTATCGTACGTTACGAGGTAATTCGTCGTAAGTTGTCAGATGCAAAAAGTCTCGTATCATAAAGCACATCGTAAGGTGCGATATTGTAGTAAGCCTCGTAACTACTACGATATCTCCTAATTTAAGTCTATATTTGGTTCTATTGATAGATAATCGAGTCGAAGGTTTTTCCTGATTGTTTCTTCTAAACTTCCCTGATTTGAAACTTTTAAGAATCGAATGACGAAAAAACTGATAGAATTCTTCACGATTGAATTGAAACTGTTTGTAGAAGGTCGTCTGGAAAAATCTGATTTATTCTAATTCAATGTTATTTTTTTTAACAAAAAAACTATTAGCTTGTCAATGTCTTTCAAAACTTCAATATTTCCATTAATATAACTACAAGTAGCAATTTTGGGTAGATTTCGTTCTACACCTACATCGTTTACATTTTTCATTATCATCTATTATGCATATTAATAATTAATTTCAAAGTAGCTAATTTCTATCCATTTTAATTCTAAAGAAATAAATGGCACTTTCCTCAGACCAAGGACTATAAACATAAGGTCAAGACACGATACCGTGTTGCATCGCGGCAGTCGCCATGTTGAGTCTTTTCGATGTATATGGTGTTTCTAGAGCAAATCTGATTGTTTCCTTCGATCTCAATTAGTTGGATTTCTTGTTATACAGTATATATTATAATATAATCGAGATGGGTTGATAATAATAATAGCAATAAGCGCAGAGCCCAAACAGTTAGGAGACGAAAGTTCAAATTTCGTACACAGGTAGGATTTGTAATGAGAATGTACACTAAGAAGGAATTTTTTGAAATTTCCCCCGCGGAGGAGAGGGAGAGGATTAAGGATTACACTGACGAACTCTGCTTCTACTGTACTATTTTAGATGCGGTTTTTTGCATTTTTTCGTGAAATCGAACATATTTTTAGACCCACTTAAAATTTCTCTAATTGGCCTCGAAATAGGGGAGATCTAATTCTTGCACTCGGTGAACACTGGTAAGATCGGCTATAATGTAATAATCTTAATCTTCGCTATTGTTACTTTTTGCCCGAGCCTGTCTCATCTGCTAGTATATATATATATTAAAAATGGTTTGTTATTCAGCACCGAATTGTAAAAATTCGACAGCCAAAGGTAATTAAAAGCAGTACAGTAATTAAAAGCTTTAACTAAATAGATTTCAAAATAAAAAGCTATGTCAATGGGTCGTATAATAAAGTACGAGGATAAATTTATTTAGTTTTGAAATGCAAAATTAGAGAAGATATTTGGAGATATTTCTTAAAATAAAAATATATTTAGTTTTCTATATGCACATGCATTTTTGCATTACACAAACTGCTCAGAGGAACATTTTTATAAATTAAAATTATATCAAGAGAAAAGAAAACCTTTCTCACAAACTTTATATATTATATAAAGTAAATCTTAAAAAGTATTTGCAAGAGATAATAACTTCCTTCAAGAAAGTTCCTAAGTTAAATTATTTTTATAGAGAATTAAATAAATATATTTATAAAAGTTTATTAAACAGTAGACAAAAAATAGAAATATCTAATTCAACTTTATTTATAGTTTATTTTATATTAAAATTATTATTAAACAACAATTATTTTTCAGAATATGCAATTTGTACTGTTACATTACTTTCAATTATTATGAAATATTAATTTAAATGATAAAAAGTTTTAATTTCAATTACTATATTTTATTTTAAATTTTAAAGTGTGTTTTCAGCCCACAAACAGCATATAACATTTATTATGTTTAATAAGTCTGTTATTCTGTTTAATAAGTTACAGTGTTATTATACAACCTGTCAGAAAACTAAAACTTTACCACAGTCTATAGACTAGTACTGATCTGAGAAGCATGTTTTAATGTAATTTAAACAGAGTTAATTAAAACCACCTGCATACTGCAAACATTTTATAATAAGTGTTAAATATTAAAGCAGTTTATATACTCGATTTTTGTTTTCACCGAAAAAGACTAAACATGGCGACTGCCGCGATGTATCAACGGTATCGGGTCTTGGCCTTATGTTTATAGACTTTGTTCTGCCCCCGCCTTATCGTCACTTCGTTTGAATCATTCGAGGACAGAACGACTGACGACTCAACTGCATATCTTAGACCAGAGTCATAACATTTATTAAACCGGATGATATTTCAACTCTCTCACGAGTATTGGGAAATTTATGTTTTCTTTCACTATACTAAATATAGTCAATATGTTTGGAGATTTAAGTGCATGGATAGTACTGTTCGTCAGACCCTACCGACACCCACTTCTCAACAAAGGGGTGTCACAAATAATTGTTGAGGTCTCTTTGTTTAGTTTCCTTGACGTACTCGTCGCATTACGCCAGTTCCAGTGTGACTGCTGGCGTAAGTTGTGTTAAAAACGGTTTCGTTGTTTACTTTCCATTGTTTATTTTATATTTTACGTACATATTCACTCCGAAATTTTAAGTATTTTTAAGTATATATAAGTAATATTTAATTTTTAAATATATTTAATATAAGTATATATTCAGTGGTCCAGAAATCCAGACCATTTCCTGTCTCAAGCTTGCTGAATATTTAGTTCGGTACTGTGTTTTTTATACGAAGCTAATTCATATCCGTATCAAATTCTATATAAATTCCATAATGAATGTTTTTTAAGCCACGACATGACATCATAGAAGAAATTTTATTTACTCGGAAAGGTAATAAAAGTTCTTCACACAATTATTGAAACCGTTCTTGGTAATTAGATGTTAATTAATAATCTAAAATAATAAACTAAATCGTTGAATCCAAACAATCGACTCTTCATAGAAATTTTGGTGTTTTGATACAACAGCAAATGCTAATTTAAAATATGGATTAGATTTTCCAATACCAAAGTTTCCAGTGATATTCAGTAGCGCAGAAATATGAAGTCTAAATCCAAATATGCAAGAGTTCCTAAACGAATAGTGCCAGTTTTACAACGAAATATTCAATTTTATAATTTTAATACTGCAATAATTATATTTTTACAGATATTTAAATAACTAAAGGGCTAAAGGCACTGTTATGGAAACTCATCTTTAGTACTACCACTGTATTCATGCAAAACACAATAACACTACTCAACTGATATATCTTATTTTGTTTCTGCTTAAGTTTATACCTTACACTAATTCCCTTTATAAATTGTTTCTACTTACAATTATGCTTTCTTATTTTATTGTTATTATTATTTTGAATTTTTGCCCACTCAAATTCTTGCGCCCCAAGCCCAGGCTTATTGGGCCTAATGGAAAATTTGCCACTGATGTTATTCGAAAATATGTCCATAATTTAAAGTTAATCGAATGACGTTTCTCGTGAATAAATAATTTGTTGAACAGCAAATATGTTTTAAATATCCCAAGAATTAAATAATTGTTTTTTGTATCATGTTATTTAAATTTCTTTGCAGTGAGATTAGGTGACTCGTCGTACAACCGTCAGGAAACGGCTAGTAAGTGATGTCGTTTATCTTAAAAGTTCTTACTAAATATTTTTTAAAAATAATTTATTTATTTCAGAACTTGCAGCAGGTGCTATTGTTGGTATTATTATAGGATGTGTAGTTGGAATTATTGCTTGTTGTTCGTGTATATGCTATTTCTGTTGTAATTGCTGTCGTAGATCAGGTGGAACAACAATTGTGCAACAGAATGCTATCGTTGCGCCTCCTGCTCCGACTATTATTAATATACCAACTGGGGGAAATAATAGCGGATTTTCAAACGTTCCGTCATGTCCACCAGCTTATACTGCACATTAAAAGTTTACAAGTATTTGTTTTTCAAATATCGTGAAAATTTTATATTTAAATAATAAACCTGTGACTTTTTTAAATGTAAAATTGTTTAAATTTTCAATTGGCTATTAAAATGCCTGAAAACCAAACTTATCATAACGACCACAATTGGTGTTTCGTCGTTTTTTATTAATTAGAGACCGAAATAAAACAAATATTTGTGTTTTTCAAATACATTTTTTGTTTGTCTCCTTTATAATAAATTAATTTATCTATTTCTAAGTAAAAATTGAAAATATCTGTAGAAGTAATTTTTTAAAATATCCTTTTTCGTGATAAAGTTTTAACACTTATTACTATAATCTAGACATGTTAATCCTTAAATATACTTGTATATTTAAGGATTGGGTGACAAATATTATATTATATATACTTGTGGCTCAAAATTCCATGACTTCTTACAATGTGGTCCAGAGTAAAAAAAGAAGGTTGGACGCACTTGCTTTAGTTTAGGGGTCCCCAAAGTGGTCGATATCGACCCCTTGGGGTCGATAAGAGTTCTCCAGGGGTCGATTAATACACGAGGGTCGAAAGGGGGTCGATTAATACCAAACAGGATCAATTAAACTGTCTAGGAAAAAAATAGAATATTCCAATAAAAATTCGAAATACGGATATGCTCAAAAACATTACTGACTACCATAGTTATAACTTGAGTTTTGCCTTAGCCTACGCCGCTTTAAGCATGTGTTACTCTGTTTCCACGCATCTGGCCACTGTACTAGTGTTGCAAACATGTTATGAACTCTAATAGTTTATTATACACAGACATACGTTGCACTGTTACATTCTAGTAGGGTTGACACTCTAAGTATTTTATATCTAAATGTAGATATTTTGTCCTTTACAGAGAAAATATCGTAATATATCGAAAATCATTAATATAGTACAGAAGCGTTTGCAAGGAAAAAACATTAAAATTGTTCAAGCTCAAAAAATCATTATGGCCTTTCAAGTAAAAATGGAGCTATTTAAATCTTCACTGGCACGATCCGATTTTAAATATTTTTAAAACTTGTGAGTACTAAAAGAAAATGAAAAGATTTCTGACTGTGATTTGGAAATATATATTAAACATCTTGATAAATTAAGAGAAGACTTTAAAGCACGTTTTGAAGACTTGGAGAATATGCATGTTCCTGAATGGTTTGCTAATCCATTTGATGTAAAAATAGATAATGAAGGTAGTGAACCTGGTTTAGAAGATGAACTGAGTGAAATATGTATAGATTTCGAAGCTACAGCGTTGTTTAAAAATAAAAATCTCAGTGAATTTTGGAGCAATAACAATATTGCCACTAAATATCC